CTGCGTCTCTCGGGCTGAAACTTAAAACGGAGCGACAAATGTGCACAACTGGTGCCGTTTATTTTTACGGAGAAGTTTCCAAGGGCTGGAGCAGAGCTGGGTTCCGGAAGGTGCTAAATCTGCGCTCAAGGATAACACTCACCGTTTGCGGCATTTATCCTCTTTCCGTCTTGTTTCTCTCTTTTGAGCATCTGTGGGTGTCATTGCCTCCTAGATGCATAAGCAAATAACGTAAATATTTATCAGGTGGGAAAATCAGCACCCCCTCATTTCCACCAACAGATGGCACTGAAGACAAGAATGTGGGTTTCCCTTGCTTCTAGAGAGAACCCACTGTTCTTTTCTCTGTACAGTTAGGGAAAAAAGGCAGATTATTTGTGTGTATATGTTAAATGCTGTGAAATCATTTCTGACTTACTGCGACCCTGTGAATTGATGAGGTCCAAAACGTCCTATTGTTAACAGTCCTGCTTAGGTCTTGCCAACTGAGGGCCGCGGCTTCCTTGACGGAGTCGATCCATCCATCTCCTGTTGGGCCCTTCACTACCCAAAGGTGTCTCAGAGCGGCTTACAAACTCCTTTCCCTTCCCCTCCCCACAACAAACACCCTGTGAAGAAGAAGAAGAGATTGGATTTATACCCCGCCCTTCACTACCCAAAGGTGTCTCAGAGCGGTTTACAAACTCCTTTGCCTTCCCCTCCCCACAACAGACACCCTGTGAGGTAGGTGGGGCTGAGAGAGCTCTGGCAGCTGTTTTTCAAGGACAGCTCTTATCAGAACTATGGCTTGCCCAAGGTCATCTAGCAGGTGCAAGTGGAGGACTGGGGAATCAAACCCGGTTCTCCCAGATTAGAGTCCGCGCACTTAACTACTACACCAAACTGACAGAACACCACTCGTGGTCACATACAGCTTCAACCCAGGAAGGCTAGTGTGTTCTCCTGCAGGTTCCTTAGTTTTGTGATTCTCGATGTCAGATTTATGTCCATTTATCCGTTGGCGTAGGGTTTGACCTGCTTGTTCTAAGTAGAGAACTGAAGGGCATTGTTGGCATTTAAGGGCATATACAATGTTAGAAGATGAACAAGTGAATGAGATGGAAATTTTGTTAGGTCCGATGATCCATGTTGTCTGGGTGTATGTGGCAGCAAAGTTGGCATCTGGGTTCATCGCAAGCTCTGGTACCAGTGTCCATGTTCAAGTTAGATGGATGAGGAGAGGAGGAGGAGGTGGTGAAGAGGAAGAAGAAGAGATTGGATTTATACCCCGCCCTTTACTCAGAGTCTCAGAGCGGCTGACAAACTCCTTTCCCTTCACCTCCCCACAACAGACACCCTGTGAGGTGCTGAGAGAGCTCTGACAGAACTGTCCTTGAGAGAACTGCTCTGAGAGAACTTGTGACTGACCCAAGGTCACACCAGTGGCTGCATGTGGAGGAGTGGGGAATCAAACCCGGTAGGAGGAGAGGAGGAGGAGAAGAAGAAGAAGAAGAAGAAGATCGGATTTATACCCCACCCTTCCCTACCCGAAGGAGTCTCACAGCGGCTTACAAACTCCTTTCCCTTCCCCTCCCCTCCCCTCCCCACAACAGACACCCTGGGGAAAAGAGCTTCATTTCTGCGTGGCGAGAACTGCAATTCATGGCCGACTTCTCTGCTCGAAGGCACACTAGAACACATAAGAACTTGACAACAGCCCTGCTGGATCAGACCAGTGCTCCATCTAGACCGGCATTCTGTCTCACACAGTGACCAACCAGCTGCCTCTATGAAACCCACAAAGAGGACGTCTGCAACAGCATCATCCTTCCTGCCTGTGGTCCCCAGCAACTGGTTGAAGGAGGCCTATTACCTCTGGTACTGGTGGGAGTAGATGTCTGTCATGATCAGTACATACCACAACAAACAGCACAGCTCACAGTAGGAAATAGCAAAGAAAAACAGAAAACAACTGTGAGCTGAATATCCCGCCAAAAATGTATACAAAAGGAGACGTCAGTGAAGTGAAATGCATATATAGTCATATAATCCCTCATAGGAAAATACAGAAGCCAGCAAGATCCGTAATAGGAAAATACAGAGTCCAAAGTGTGTCTCAGAGCGGCTTACAAACTCCTTTCCCTTCCCCTCCCCACAACAGACACCCTGTGAGGTAGGTGGGGCTGAGAGAGCTCTGACAGAGACCGGTCTTTTTCAAGGACAGCTCTTATCAGAACTATGGCGTGCCCAAGGCCATCCAGCAGGTGCGAGTGGAGGAGTGGGGAATCAAACCCAGTTCTCCCAGATTAGAGTCCGCGCACTTAACCACTACACCAAACTGGCTCTCTACACCAAACTGACAGAACACCACTAGTGGTCACATACAGCTTCAACCCAGGAAGGCTAGTGTGTTCTCCTGCAGGTTCCTTAGTTTTGTGATTCTCGATGTCAGATTTATGTCCATTTATCCGTTGGCGTAGGGTTTGACCTGCTTCAAGAGGCTTCAAGAGGGAATTAGATAAACATATGGATCAGAGGTCCATCAGTGGCTGTTAGCCACAAGGTATAGATAGGAACTCTCAGTCTGGGGCAGGTGGTGCTCTGTATTCTTGGTGCTGGGGGGGGCAACAGTGGGAGGGCTTCTAATGTCCTGGCCCCACTGCTGGACCTCCTGATGGCACCTGTTGTTTTTGGCCACTGTGTGACAGAATGCTGGACTGAATGGGCCATTGGCCTGATCCAACACTGCCGTCTCTTATGTTCTTATGTAAGCACTGGGTTGCTGATAGTGGGATTTGCCAGGAAATACCATGTATTTAATTATTTCCTCTCTAGCGGAAAAAGACAGGATCGCTACTAGAAAGAATCAGCTGTAAGTTTGGGTATTTGCAAGCTGTCAAATTATTTTGCGGCCGCAGCTCCTGCGATGCCTCTAACGAAACCCCGAGAGGGAAGTGTCAGCTATTCTGAATAAATTCAAAGAATGTCGCAGTCAATGCCTGCCTGAGAACTGCACTGCCATGTGTTGCACATAAATACAAAGGATATGCAGACTTGGGGGAAAATGTGTATCTAGCCACTCGCAAACATCTGCTTTGGAGTAAATGTACTAGATTATGACATTGGTGGCCTGCCCAGGACCCTGCTTGAGATAGGAGTGTAACCTTTTATCTATTAATACTTGCGAACGCCCTCTTTGCCTTTGTTGCATATCAATATCCATTTCTTAGCCTTTCGATCATTAACCATGGGGAGCATTTGGGACACATGGTTGGCCAGGAAAAGGCACTTCTAAATTTAGGCACGTTGCTTTCTGTAGCCAGTGTGGCACTCTGCGGTGGGGCCGCGTGAAGCGTCAGTTGTATAGGCTCGCAAGCACAAGAAGGCAACCGATGCAAGTAAGTGATTGTACAGTCCTGGAACGAACTTCTCTATGTACCTTAATTGTGTATTGTCATCCCCCCCCCCCCCCACTGATTAATTGTCTGACTTTTCACCAATTGGTTGAGTGATGGATGAGTTCCATTTACACACTTCAGCACCTCAAAGTGCTTTGGGAGGGGGTGGCCTTCTGAAAGAAGGTAGAAATGCTTAGCCTACTGGTCACTGATTGCGGAAAAGAAAGCCATTTTTTTTTGGGGGGGGTAACATTTGTGATTTGGGCCTCTGTGGTTTTTTAACTAGTGGCTATTTAGGTGGCTGATGTTCATACCACCACAGAGTTCCATTCTGTTAATCAGCTGGGCTCTACAGCCCTTATTTCCAAGATAATTTGGCGGAGTACAGGATGGAGTGTAAACTGGTCACAGCACAAGTGCCGCAAAGTATTCTTTACTAAACCGCTGGTCTGGTGTAACAAATATTGTTTCTTTCTCTAATCCCCAGATTCTCAAGCAGTTTTGAGAATGGGAGGCAGTTTACTTGCCAGCTCTTGGGCAGTTTACTGAATCTGTGATTAAAACTTTAATCGGTTTCCTCTCTGAACCAACGGAGAGTTGTATTCGTAATGTGTGTCACGCACTGAAAGAAGTGTATTATGTTGATCAGCAGAAGTGAGTGCTGAGAAGTTCCCAGGTCAAAACTCTTCAGCTGGTTACTCACTGGGAAACTTTGGGAGTTGCCACTTGTAACCCCAGCATACAATAAGATGATAATAACGTGGTCCTACCTTACAGGGTTGGTGTACAGATTGCCAAGAGAGACTAAGTAAAAGAAACAAGAAAAGTGCTATATAAATATTAAGTGGGACTTCGTGTTTTCACTTTTACTTTGTACTAAATTATATCGACAAACCAAGCAACCTGGGATTTTGGTTCGATGGTCTTTAGCCCTATTTACAGATACCTTAGGAGCTGCGGTGGCTCAAGTGGTTAAGACGCTGAACTGCAGGCTGTGGAAGGTCAGTAGTTCAGCAGTTCGAGACCCGGGTGCCGCATGACGGAGTGAGCTCCCATCTCTAGTTCCAGCTCCTGCCAACCTAGCAGTTCGAAAGCAAGAAATTGCAAGTAGATAAATAGGTACCACTTCGGTGGGAAGGTAACAGCGTTCCGTGTGCCTTGGTGTTTAGTCATGCTGGCCACATGACCACGGAAACATCTTCGGACAGCGCTGGCTCTTCGGCTTTGAAACGGAGATGAGCACCGCAACCCTAGAGTCGGATTCGACTGGCTTTTGAGCAAGGGAACCTTTACAGATACCTTGTGTGTGTGTGTGTGTGTGTGTGTGTAGAGGGGTTTCTCCAAGATTGGTTGAAGTCCTAAGGACACTTTCCTGAGAGTAAGCCCAGCTGATTAATGTGGGACTTCCTTCTGAGTAGGCTGGCTTAAGATGGCTCCCTTAGTCCGCCACGTACTGTTGAATGACCCCTCCCCATTTCCACGGGATATGTTCAGGATTTCCAGTCAGACTGTTGGCATCAAACAGCGGGTTTGTGGCCGCAGTACACGATTGTTTCCTTTGTTGGTTCCATTTAGAAACCTTTTGCGCGTTGTGTTTCTGTTTCAGCCTGCCTCCCGTTGAAGATGGCCTCGTGTCTCTACGAATGCCTCTGCGAGGCAGAACTCGACAAATACTACCCCAATTTCGCCGCCCTCGGCTTCCAGAAGATCGACGAACTTGCCAAGGTCTCCATGAAGGATTACACCAGGCTGGGGGTTCACAACATGAAGGACCGCAAGCACCTCTTCCAGCTCATTAAAATAATCAAAATCTTGCAGGCGGAAGAGGAAGCGGCTAAGAAAAACAAGCAACGCTTTCAGACAGGCGCTGTCTACTTCCAGTCTCAGGTTACCAGAGCTGGTCCTCGTAGGCAACTGCACTTTGGTTCTGCCTCGGACAAAAGAGACAAAGGAAAAGACCCCCAAACTGGGATGTGTAGACTCTCCAGTTGTTTTGCAAGGAGAGATAAAGATGACTTAGCCACAGTGCTGGGGCATGACTCAGAGTACAAAAGACACCAGAAGGACATTGTGCATGCACCCGCCACTTGGACAGAATGCAAGCTAGACTTTCCGACTACGAATTTGTCCAGCAATATCAACCCTCTGTTAGGGGATACCGAAGACCCCGTTGTCCAAAGAGTAGCTCATATTTCTGGTTATAACTATGGAGTGCCACATTCATGTGCCAGGTAATAATAGTTCATTTGTGCTCGTTTACATTTGAAGACAGGTGGACGTTCTTTCTGCTGTCTAGGACATTCTTTCTGCTGAGAGCCAGTTTGGTGTAGTGGTTAGGTGCTGGGACTCTAATCTGGGAGAACCGGGTTTGATTCCCCACTCCTCTACTTGCACCTGCTGGATGACCTCGGGCAAGCCACAGTTCTGGCACAGCTGTTCTTGAAAAAGAGCCGTTTGTGTCAGAGCTCTCTCAGCCCCACCTACCTCACAGGCAATGTTCCCTCTAAGCTGTGGAGTCTTGTGAGCAAAAATTCTACTTTGTGGGCTACTGGCATTAAAGTTGTGAGCGAGCGATTTGGCTGCTGCATACAGTAGTTTGCTTTGGAGTCATCCTTCCTGAGCAAAGACAAAAATGTGTGAGCTGGAGGCTAAAAAACTGTGAGCTAGGTCACACTAACTCAGCTTAGAGGGAACACTGCTCACAGGGTGTCTGTTGTGGGGAGGGGAAGGGAAAGGAGTTTGTAAGCCGCTCTGAGACACCTTTGGGTAGTGAAGGGCGGGGTATAAATCCAATCTCTTCTCTTCTTCTTCTACAAGGGTGGGGGTGTAGAAGGGGGGGGATTAAATTTTACAACCAGCCCCAATGTACTATTTTAGGGAATACATTGTGCATACATTTCATTTGCATGCTTTAATATGTTGCATGGTTTCTATTTGCCATGCGCCTGGGTGTCTGAAACCTTAATTCTGCAGGCCTAATACCTCTGAGAAAGAAATCCCCTGGACTGAGACTGACAAGATACGGGTGTGCGTCAGAAAACGTCCGCTGGGTTTAAGGGAGGAGCGGCGCGGAGAAGTGAACATCGTCACAGTGGAAGATAAAGAAACTCTCCTGCTTCATGAGAGAAAGGAGGCTGTTGATCTCACCCAATACATTCTGCAGGTTGTCTTTCTTTTGGGCTCCCAAAAATCTCTTGCTTTGTGTGTTAACTACTTCACGTGATGTACGTCAATCTCTTCTCTTCTTCTTCTACAAGGGTGGGGGTGTAGAAGGGGGGGGATTAAATTTTACAACCAGCCCCAATGTACTATTTTAGGGAATACATTGTGCATACATTTCATTTGCATGCTTTCATATGTTGCCTGGTTTCTATTTGCCATGCGCCTGGGTGTCTGAAACCTTAATTCTGCAGGCCTAATACCTCTGAGAAAGAAATCCCCTGGACTGAGACTGACAAGATACGGGTGTGCGTCAGAAAACGTCCGCTGGGTTTAAGGGAGGAGCGGCGCGGAGAAGTGAACATCGTCACAGTGGAAGATAAAGAAACTCTCCTGCTTCATGAGAGAAAGGAGGCTGTTGATCTCACCCAATACATTCTGCAGGTTGTCTTTCTTTTGGGCTCCCAAAAATCTCTTGCTTTGTGTGTTAAACACTTCACGTGATGTACGTCAAGCTGCTCCACTTACAGTACAGTCAAATAAGGGATTAAAAATAGACTTCATGTTAGGGTAACGAAGTAGCTGTTTTTACTCATCTTTATTCGTTCCAGAATTTCCAGTTCTTCTTTGTGCGAAGAAGAAGAGTGAAAGCGATAAGCACAAATCTAGGGATGGGCACAAACTGGGAAAATGCGGTTTGTGGTTCCTGGCCGAACCACGAACCGAACCCAGAAGTTTGTTTGCGAACCGAACCAGTATGTGGTTCGTGGCCCTGCAAACCCCGTTGAAAGGGTCACAGAGGTCCCTTTCAGCGGGGTTTGCAGAAAGTCCAGAAAAACAGCTGAGCAGTGGGGTGCAGCTTGCAACCCGCCACTCAGCTGTTTTGGGCTGCCTTGTTCAGTCCCTTTAAAGACAAACCAAAAAGCAGCTGAGTGGCAGGGCGTGCCTCCCCGCTGCACAGCTGATTTTCTGTCTGTCTTCTGCAGTCTCTTTAACCTCTAAAGAGGCTGCAGAAGACGACCAGAATCAGCTGAGCGGTGTGGAGTGCCTCCTCGCTACTCAGCTGTTTTTGCAGCTTTTGCAGGGAACAGAAATCGGGGGGTCCCTTTCAGCGGGGTTTGCAGAAAGTCCAGAAAAACAGCTGAGCAGTGGGGTGCAGCTTGCAACCCGCCACTCAGCTGTTTTGGGCTGCCTTGTTCAGTCCCTTTAAAGACAAACCAAAAAACAGCTGAGTGGCAGGGAGTGCCTCCCCGCTGCACAGCTGATTTTCTGTCTGTCTTCTGCAGTCTCTTTAACCTCTAAAGAGGCTGCAGAAGACGACCAGAATCAGCTGAGCGGTGTGGAGTGCCTCCTCGCTACTCAGCTGTTTTTGCAGCTTTTGCAGGGAACAGAAATCGGGGCTTTAAGGGGACTGGGAGTCCCTTTAAACACCTGCTTTCTGCTCCATCCACAAAGCATCACAAACTTCGGTTTGCGAACCCCAAACGGCAAAATTCATGGTGAATTTTACTTCGTGGTTCAGTGCGTGTCTATACCTACCCAAATCTGAACATACAAATATAGGATGACGAAGACCAATTCGAATTCAGTAAAACCATCCATGCTCCTGAGCGTTAAGTCATTAGAGGCTCTTTCGAAAATGAGCATTTCCCCCCCATTGCTTGTTAGAGGAGGAATGAATAAGGCTGAGGTGTGTCTTTCAGAGGAGGACTTTTAAATACAGAGGCTGCTTGGGAGCAGGTGTGGTTCCGTACTGTTACCTTATAGAACAGAGGGGAGGAGACGGGCCCCCTCCAGATATCTTGATGGGTGATCACGCCGGGAGAGAGTGGGTGTATCAGCAGTGTCAGGCAGTTTGGGGAGAGGCTGGGGCTCAGTGGGAGAGCCTCTGCTTGGCATTTTGAAGGTCCCAGGCTCAACCTCTGGGACCTCCTGGTAAAAGGATCAGGTAGCAGGTGATGTGATGCGAAAGGCCTCTGCCTGGGACCCGGGAGAGCCACTGCCAGTCATAGCAGACAGTACTGACTCTGACTGATTCGGTATAAGGCAGTTTCATGTGCTCATGTGCTCAGCTCCACCTGACTATGCAGTCCTCCCTTAACCCTGCACAGGTGGCTAGGGAGGAGGAGTGGCTATTATCCTCCATGAGGTCGTCTATTTTTACAGAGTTCCAGTACACACTATAGCTGGCTTTGATTGTATGCTGCTTGTGTTGGGTACTAAGGATAGATAAGGCATTCTGCTTGTTTATAGTTATGATAATTTCATGCCAAGTAAAAATGTCCATAGTCATATTTCATGTTCCTAAAGTAACAGGATGACTTTCAATCTAGAAAAGACAAAAGAAATGCTAATGTAGCATTTTTTCAATTTGTCCAAAAATTTCCGTTTTTTTCCGGAAAAAAACGGGTTTTTTCCCGAGCTTTAAAATGTCCAGAAATTTTACATCTCTACCTCTGCTTGGCATTTTGAAGGTCCCGGGTTCAACCTCTGGGACCTCCTGTTAAAAGGATCAGGTAGCAGGTAATGTGATGTGAAAGGCCTCTCTGCCTGGGACCCGGGAGAGCCACTGCCAGTCTGAATAGGGAATGCTGACCTTGATGGACCTAAAGGTCTGGTTCAGTATAGGCAGGTTTGCCAGGCCACCACGGGGGTGCAAGGGATCCCCCGCCCTGGGGCCCCTACCTCTGCCACTGGCCAGCGGGGGGACTTACTGGCAGCAAAGGGGAGCCGAGACTGGCATTGCCGGCAACGCAGCGATATCACTTCTAGCACGTGCAGGAAGTGATGTCACCGTGATGCTGGCAACGTGGGGTGTTCTAGCACGTGGGCAGAAACTCTGGTAAAAACGACGTCCGGTATAAGTGGTAAAAATGTCTACCCAAATACCAGAGCATCGCTGTGTCATGACGACACCGCTCCCAGGGCATGCCATAAGTGACATTTCCAGCAATTCCGGCCTAGGCCTCTCTTCACTGCCAGTAAGTCCCTGCCCTCGCCCGGCCAGTTGCCAGGGGGCACCTGGCAACTCTTAAGTGCAAGGCAGTTTCTTGTGTTCGTGTGTGTTCCAAGTCGAGAGTGGTACCATGAATGGCGCTTGGACACTCGAAGGGAAGCTGTCCAGTAAAACACCAAAATAGCCCTTGTCTGTTCTTACGACCACGCCCTGGACTGTAGGTCAGCAGGTGCCTTCCGCGCTGGCTAAGTGCGCAGACTCTAATCTGGGAGAACCGGGTTTGATTCCCCACTCCTCCACTTGCACCTGGCTGGATGACCTTGGGCAAGCCGTAGTTCTGATAAGAGCTGTCCTTGAAAAAGAGCAGTTTCTGTCAAGAGCTCTCTCAGCCCTACTGACCTCACAGGGTGTCTGTTGTGGGGAGGGGAAGGGAAAGGAGTTTGTAAGCTGCTCTGAGACACCTTCGGGTAGTGAAGGGCGGGGTATAAATCCAATCTCTTCTTCTGAATGCTTTTTTCAAGATGAGCCCCACTGTAGCTGGCTTTCTGAGATTATAAAAGCGTTGGATGAGAGCTGTAGGCTTCTGTGGCTGAGAGCGCAGCTGCCTCATCCGGGGGTGTTAAAGTAAATTCCTGGAAGTGCTAGGAGGTGAACAACCGCGCTGTCTCCACTTGGACATCATATTGCGTTTCTGTCCAGTTAAAGGGGAGCAGATGCCACCAATAAAAGGGCCTTTTTCTGTCTTCCAGAATCCTATTCTTCTTCCCCCTAAATAAGGGCTGTTCATCTGTCCTCGTCCCTCTCCTCAGTGTCTTCACCCCAGGGCATCTGTCATATAATAGCAACAGGCAGAGAGTACATTACTAGAAAAAAAATACTACATAGTAATCAGGTTTAGCTCTAGTATTGTAATTCGCTCCCCCCTCTTGATCATAGAATCATAGAATGTTAGAGCTGGGACCTTGCAGGTCATCTAGTCCAACCCCCTGCACTCTGCAGGAGCACAGCCGAAAGATGGCCCTACAACATACCCGGAAGATGGTCGTCCAGCCTCCGCCTGGAAACGTCCAGCGAAGGAGCCTCCACCACCTCCCGAGGCAGACTGTTCCACTGCTCAACCACCCTTACAGTCGGGAAGTCTCTCCTGATACGGCCGCCCTGAGCCCGTTCGCGGGGAGGGTGGGGTAAAAATGCAATAAATAAATAAGTAAATGATATTTAGCCGGTAACGACTCCCTTGTAATTTCCACCCATTAGATCTAGTCTTGCAGTCCGGAGCAAGAGAGAATAGATAGCACAGGATAACTTTTTACATGGTCATTTTAGTGCAGGCTTATTTTACCTCCACAAGATTTTTTTCCCCCTCTGTTCGGTATGGTGTAATAGAAGCCATAACTCTTGTGGCGGTGCGGGGGGGGGGGGGGAGTGGAG